GGGGCAGGGGCGGGGCTAGGGCAGGACGGGGGCGGGGCTCCTCCCATCCTCTTTTTTGCTTGTTGAAATATGGTAACCCTATGTAACCAGGACAGAGCAACATGCTTAAACTTCAGGGCACAGCCCTGGGGCAGACTGTAAGACCAGAGGGACTACTGTGATCATCTAGTCTGACCTCCTGCATAACACAGGCCATGGGACTTCCCTGAATTAATTCCTATTTGAACTACAGCAGATAATTTAAAAAACAGCCAATCTGGATTTAAAAATTGCCAGTGATGGAAATCTACCATGAGCCTAGTTAATTACCTTCACTGTTACAAATTTGTACTTTATTTCTAGTCTGAATTTGTCTAGTTTCAGTTTCATCCACTGGATCTGGTTATACCTTTTTCTGCTAGACTGAAGAGACCTAGATAAATTTCTGTTCTCCATGTAGGTACTGTGATCAAGTCACCCCTAACCTTCTTTCTGTTATGCTCCTTGAATCCATCACTGTAAGGCTCCTTGAATCCATCACTGTAAGGCATGTTTTCTAATCATTCTCATGGCTCTTCTCTGAACCCTCTCCAGTTTACCAACATCCTTCTGGAATTGTGGGCACCAGAACTGGACACAGGATTCCAGCAACGAACATAAGGACAACCATGGTCAGACCAATGGTTAATCCCACCCAGTATCTTGCCTTCCAACAGTGGCTGGTGCCAGGTGCTTCAGAGAGAATGAACAGAACAGAACAGGGCAATTTATCGAGTGATCCATCCCTTGTCATCCAGTCTCAGATCCCTGCAGTCAGAGGCTTAGGGATACCCAGATCATGGGGTTGTGTCCCTGATTATCTTGGCTAATAGCCATTGATGGACCTAGCCTCCATGAACTTTCTAGTTTGTTTAACTCAGTTATACTTTTGGCTAGTGGTTGCATCAGTGCCAAATACAGAACAAATATAACCTCCATACTCCTGTTTTGGACTGGGGGTGCAGTGAAGGGCGTTCCTGATGTGACTGATTTAGTTGGGGTTTGGTCCTGCTTTGAGCAGGGGGGTTGGACTAGATGACCTCCTGAGTTCCCTTCCAACCCTGATATTCTATGAATGGTGGGTTTGTGATTTGGGGTGGGGGCTGGTATTGCAAGGATGAAGGGGACCAGGGACAGGAGTATGGTGAGGGGGTGGTAGGCAGAGTGTAGATCAGTGTAGTGGGGCTATGGGTGCAGGGGTAGATAAGTGTGGCAGAGTGGGGGCTGGAAACAGGGGGTATACCAGTGTGGTGGGGTGGTGGATGGGGTAGATGAGCCATAGCAGAGTGGTGGTGGACATGGAGTAGACGAGTGTGACTGTGGAGTAGAGTGGGTGGCAGGGGTAGATAAACAGTGTGTGTGTGGGTGGGGGGGGGTGGAGTTGAAGGCAGGGAGTCCATAAGCAGCGGGGTGGAGGATGGGGGATAGATGATCATGGCAAGGGGGGTAGATGAGTGTGGTGGGGGCAGGGAGTAAAGGAGCGGGATGGATAAATGTGGTGGGGGTCACGGTGGCCAGGGTAAATAAGCAGGGTAGTAGATGAGCATGGCGGGGATGGGATGGGTGCAGAGGATAGATGAGCATGGTGGGGTGGAGGGCAGGGGGGAACATTTAGGTCACACATACTAATTAGAGAGGAGCAAAGAAGGTGGGGGCACCGTTCTTCGGATTATCCCTCCCTTCATCACAGGCCCCACACCCCACTGCCAGATGTGGGTTTCCGCCACATACACCCCCGTCATCAGCCTCACTCTGCACCCAATGTCCACCCGAAGTGCCCGGAATCTGGCCCTCCCCCCGGGCCGGGGGTGACTCTGAATTGACCCCGGAGAAACTGAACTCCCGCCGTGTTCATTCAGCTGCCTCCTCCGCCAGCCCCGCATTCGCACTCGCCTTCCCGTCCTCTGCCAGCCAGCGAGACGCCAGGTCTGCGCGAAACTCGCAGGCAGAGCGATTAGCCGCCGCCGCAGGGCACAGAGCATAGAAACTTCCCGGTTTCCGCTCATCGCGGAGCATCGCCGGGGCTCGGTGGGGGAGCGCAGCGTCCTTCAGCTTTCACCCCTGAGCCTCCACCTGGAGAAACTCAACAGCTGCCGCAGGTAACTCCCGGACTTACTGACCTTCTCTTCCAGCTTTTAGGGGGGGGGGGCTGAAGCCCCGAGCCCTGTCCGTGTCTTGCTCCCCTCAGCTGGGATTGGGCGCACAGGAGGGGAGGGGGGACCCGGACAGGGGTAAGGGCCGGGGGCCCAGGCGTGGGCCACAGCCGGGACTCCGGGCGCGGAGCCCCTTGTGAAACTTGGGGGGTGCTACAGCACCCCCAGTTCTTGCGTCTATCCTTCCAGCGGAAGGGGGCCATCGAGTGTGTGCATTCAGGGGCGCAGGTTCATCTCACCCCTTCACTGCTGCCGTCCCCCCCCCCCCCCGCCTATGAGCTCCTTTCCCTGCCAGGTTTTGACCTTCGCGACTCTGAGTTTAGTCTATTTCGGGGACATTTTCCTTCAACCCCCATCACTTTTTCAGCTAAAAGATTCTTAAAGGGGGATTTTTGTTCCGAAAGGACCTGACAATTGAACAAATCAACAACTAACGAATTTCCTTCATGCTGAGTTATTTGTAAATCTCTGCAGTGGGTTGCCACTACACCTCTCCTGGTAGCATAACTCCAGTGCTCAGTAATAATCATTAACTCGAATAACGTCCTCGTTATTCCAGCGCTTTGGAAATGGAAGGGATTTTGTCATTCCATGGCTATTAACCCTTCCATCAGTTTGTGATACATTGCTGGAAAGCTGACATGCATGTATAATTTTATTAATGAAATACATTCATGCTGTTATTTTTTTAAGTAAAGGCATTTATTATTTTTTAATTTGGATGAAAGTTTGCAACATGGTTGAGGTTTATGATTCCTCACGCACTTTGGATCCTGTGAGAAAGTTCAGCTCTCTTTACTAGCAACTGGTGAGCCAGATGTCTTAAACAATTTATTAGCAGAATGCAAATATTTTATCAGATACTGGAGGGACAGGAACAATCTTAGACTGACAGGGACCTAGAAAGACAGAGGAAATAGACAGGGGAAGAGACGGAAAGCAGGCAGAGACACAAGACAGTATCATCCACAATTGGATAAACAAATAGCGTTAGATTGGGGATATCCTTTTAAAGTTGCTAACTATTTTATCTTGTGTGAATTTTTCCAGCAAAGATCTTCCTACATCCTTTAAAAAGATGTTACCTCTGATCTGAATGTAGAGGGGCTATTGGTTTGATAAAGGCTCCAGCTGATCCCAGGGACCCAGCATGCTAGTCTGTCTGTCTATCTATCTATCTCTATCAGACACCAAACACACCCATCTTTCGCTTTCTTGCTCTCTCTCACCATTCTTTTTTCTAATTTTTGGAAACAAGTTTGACAACTGATAGAAAGCCCCCCGCATTATTATCAATAAATCCCATGTTTTTTCTGTAATATAATTAGAATTTTTTTAAGTTAAAGATTTGCCAAAGCAATCCATATTCCACTGGATCCACAATAAATAAAGCAATAATAAAGCAACAAATTGCAGCCCAGATTGTTACTTTGTTCTGATCTAAAAGTCTAGATAGACAGATAGATGCTGTCATGTTTACAGGTTAGCCACAGTCCGGTCACCCTGCTTGCATCCCATCATGTGTTTAGTCTCTTGCCCTTACTCATCTTGGGGTGCGAATCTCACAATTCTCCCACACTTAACCTGAGATCTGGGTACAATCCCTGTCTGTGTCAAACCCTTCTTACTGAGCAGGTCCACCTGGCTGTCACCAGTGCATCCTCTTAAATCCAGCTACCATATTCAGCAGCAGAAACAAAACTTTGGAGAAAATTTATGTAACCCTTCTGCCCATCTAAGTTGGCAGCAACAAGGGCCGGGTTCTGTATCTAGGGGTTCCGTTTCAATAACGCAATGCAAAACCGGCTCGAGCCGCCACCCAGTGACCTGGGACAATTACATACCACCCCCTGGGCGCCTCTAAGAGGCAATACTTCCCCTCTCGCAAGCACGGAGTCTGAGTGTAACAGAAAATGTTTAATAACATGAGGTAAACGACATCAGCATTAAATTGGAAACACCACAAACAGGATTCATAACACAAACCATGAGCAAAAACCCACCCCAGCAAATCGGGCTGTGTCCTTTCCCGTTGGTTCTTGAAACCAGCAACCCAAGGATCACCAAAGTCCCAAAAGTCCAGCAACCCCCCAAAGTCTCTGTCCCTGGTCAGTGCAGCCCCAGAGTTCAAAGGGGGGGGCACGCAGGGTGTTAAGGGGCACCTTACGTGATCCGAGGCCGACCGGCTGCCTCTCCTTGGGATTCCGCCGCAGCCTTCACCACGAACTGCTCTGGCAGCTGCTCCGCTCTGCTCCGCTCACCAACCTGTGAGCCGCTCAGCTCTGCTCCACTTCATCCGTCCCTTGGGCCGCTCCCACAAGGCTCCGCTGTGCTCTGCTAGCTGCTCCTCCAGCCGCTCAGCTCCGCTCCAACCGTCCCCACGAGGCTCCACTCTGCTAGCTGCTCCACCAGCCACTTAGCAATATAGCTTCAGGCTCCCCCACTAGTTAACACAGCACTCAGTGATCTCAGCTCTTAATAACTTTAGCTCTTTTGTGATTTCAGCTCTTAGCAATTTCAGCTCATCGTAGGGGAGCCCCAGTGCGAGTGCACCATTGGCCCAAAGTGAATTCAGCTCAGTGGCCAGAGCGCCAGGAGCAGGGCGGAGAGCCCGGCCGGGGCTCTCTGCTCTCCCCGGCGTCCAGAGCGGCAGGAGCAGGGCGGAGAGCACGGCCGGGGCTCTCTGCTCTCCCCGGCGTCCAGAGCGCCGGGAGCAGGGCGGAGAGCTCCTAGCGGCCAGAGCGCCGAGTGGAGGGCGGAGAGCCCAGCTGGGGCTCTCCGCTCTCTCCGGCGGCCAGAGTGCTGGGGGGAGGGCGGCAAGCCCGCCGCGGCTCTCCGCTCTCCCCGACTGGCCGGAGCACTGGGGGGAGGGCGGCGAGCCTGGCCGGGGCTCTCCGTTCTCCCCGGCGGCCAGAGTGCTGGGGGGAGGGCAGAGAGCCCCCAGCTGCCAGAGTGCCAGGGGGAGGGCGGCGAGCCCAGTCGCGGCCCCGCTCTCGGGCCGGAGCGCCCTGCCGCGCCGCCCCCCTCCAGGCGCCGCCCCAAGTACATGCTTGGTGGGCTGGTGCCTGGAGCCAGCCCTGAGTAGGCTGGAAAGGTTGTGAGCCACTGATCTAGAAGAATGCCCCTGTGATGGCGGCTCCATTGCTTGGCATTTGGAACAATTTAATCTAAATGGTTTGAATCACTGTTCTTATGACTGCATCTGTCTCTGAGAAGGGTGTTCAAACTGTCCATTCCCTCCAACAGGCTCAGCACCTGTCACAGAAACCCAATATATAAACCACATTTTGGGGTACAGATCAACACTCACCACCAAGCACCCCCCCCAATCCATCACAGATTGATTGAGTGTTAGACAGATATATACATATTGGGGATGAATAGAGAAATAGATACATATTGGGGATGTGTGGGTGGATACGTATTGGGATGGATGGAGAGAAGTTTATTGAGGATGGAGGGATATGCATATTGGGGATGACTATGGGATTTGGGTAGATGTATGTGCATTGGATGGATAGCTGTTTATTAGGCTGGATAGATAGACATGTATTTGTAGTGAATTTTGGGCACCTCATCGCTGAGCAAAAAAAAAAAAAAGCCCAGCAGTTTGGCATTCCCTGGAAGTTTGCACCCCAGGCAAACTGCCCTCCTTGTCCACCCATAGAACTGGCCCTGTAGATGAGTATTGGATGGATAGCTGTATATTGGGGTGGGTGGATGAATGGCTGGATAGATAGATATGGATTGGATGGATGGATAGATACGTATTGGATGTATAGCTGTATATTGGGGGGATGGATGGATAGATACATGTTGGATGAATAACTGTATATTGGGGAGGGTGGATAGGTAGATCATATTTTAAATGCTCTTTATTAAAACTCCTAATTATTCACTATTATGGATTGGATTGTCAGATTGTCACCATCCTCTTTGAAGTGTGGACCCCAAAGCCGGATGCAGGACTCATTGTTAATCTGACTAAGGTCATATCCCAAGGGAGCCCACCTCTCTGCTCCTTCTTAATCTCTCTCTCACCATATCGCACTAGGAGTCCCTGGTCTGCTGGTTCTCATCGGGGCTCCTGAGTCCTTAGGGCCCAGAAATGGTCCCCAGTCCATATGTCTTATTTATATTCTCCGTGCCTAGCTGGATGGCCTGGCATCTGGTCCCCTTTCTAACCATCTCAAACCAATCCACCTTTAGCACATGACCAGTGAGTTGCTTTCTCTGGGTGCCTGACTGGGCCAGCAGAGTCAGCCACTCAAAACCACATGAGATTGGCTTCAAACCAAGATTTTAAAAAGTAATTCACGTTGGCTTCTTTCTTTGCTTTCTGCTTTGTGACCCTTCAGGTGGGGCTGGGGGTTGTCTCCAGCCTTTGTGGGGAGGGAGCAGGGATCACATCTCCAGCCTTCTTGAGGGGCAGGGATCTGGTTCCAGCCTCCTTGGGGAGTTAGGGTGGGCATAGATCACATCAACAACTTTCGGGGGGGGGGGGGGCAAGAGTTTGAGTCTCCAGCCTTCAGGGGAGGTGGGGGTCATGTCCCCAGCCTTCTCTCCACAACCAGAAAGGCTAGAAAGTGCCTTTTCCCTCATGGAGGCTGTGATTCTCCCACAGTCTGAGGAACTGAGGCTTTAAGGGAATCAGCAAAGCTGGTGAGTCTGGAGGTCAAACCCCAGAACTGCCATCTCATCTGGCTGAGCCAGGTGGCCCTCCATGGCACTGCCCAGGGCAGGGGGAGAGGGGGTGGGACTGATGCAAAGCTCTGCCTGGTTACTGAGTAGTGGCACTAACGTAATTTCTGTTATTTCTCTCTCTCCTCCTCAGTTTGTCCAGTTCCCTCTGGCTGCCTCCTATAGGCCTCTCCCAACCCCCTGCCCTGTTCCACACTCCCCTCAATCCTCTGTCCTGTCCCTCTCTGTTCCTCACACCCCAATCCCAGACCCATAGCCCTCTGTCCCATACTCGGATTGCTTGTCCCATTCCTCTCATTCCAGCCCTATACAAACCTGCTTCATCCCCCCTCCATCTCATATTCCCATCCCGATCCCCTGCCCTGTTACTCTGTTCTTGCTCTATACACCTCCTGCCCTTTACCTCTCCATCCCATATTCAACCCTACACCATTCTCCGCCCTGGTCCCATCCCCCTACTGGCCCGATGCCACTACCACCACCTGGTCTGTCATTCTTCCCCCCAGGGCAGGTGGCCCGAGTCTGTGAGGTCCTGCAGGAGAGTGGGGAGTTCGAGCGTCTGGCACGGTTCCTTTGGGCCTTGCCACCTACCCTTGCCCACAGGTGCCACCAGGCACCTCCATGGGTGCCGGCCTGCCCTGAGCTGGAGCTGCTGGACCCCCACACCTCAGCCCTGCTGGCACCCTATTTCAGCCAGGCCTCACCCTGTGGGGCCCCAGGGACCTTGGGGGGCCTGGACCAGTACCCATCATGCAGGAGACTATCATTCTCAGCCTTCCCCAACAGCAACATCCAGCACAGGGCCAGCAGCTTCAAGGTGAGCAGGGCATCGAGTGGTGGGGTAGGAGAGGAAAAGGGTCATGAGCAGTAGACTGACAGTCCCTTGGTGAGAGAATAGACTGTAGGGGACAATCCCCCACCCCCAGGGAATAGACTGTGGGCCATGATTAAATAGACTGTTGGGGACAACTCTGCCCCCCACCCCCCAAGAGGAATGCTCTGTAGGGCAATCCCACCTCCTCCTCAGGTGGGACAGACTGGAGGAGATGATCCTGTCTCCCACAACCACTGCCCAGTGAAAGATTGCAGTGGATGCTGCTGCCCACCAGGATGGTGAATGCTCTATGTATGGCTGGGGAGGCTCATCAGGGTGGGGCATAAGGGTCTCCCTGCTGACCCCCTTCCCATGTTGATATCTGTCCCACTGCCCTTCTTTCTTTCCCCAGGAGAAGACACGGAACCTGCTGCGGGAATGGTACCTGCAGGACCCCTACCCCAACCCCTCCCGCAAGCGCCACCTGGCCCATGCCACTGGCCTTACCCCCACCCAGGTGGGGAACTGGTTCAAGAACCGCCGACAGCGGGACCGTGCTGCCTCAGCCAAGAAAAGGTGAGAGGCCTGAACCTCCCCAGGATCCAAGATGGTGCCTGCCTCAGCCTGCAGCACACAGGCCAAGTGGGACTGGATGGGATAGGAGACATACATGGAATATGCAAGGAGTGGGGCTGGGGGAGTAAGGGGTCCTGTGCTGCAGAGAGTGGAGTGGGGTGCTCAGTAGAAGGCACCGTGCTGCTGGGAGCGAGTGGGCCAGTAGAGTGTGCTGTGCTGCAAGGATCATGGTGGAGGCTCAGTATGGGTTGCTGCTCTTCAGAGATTGGAATGGGGTGTCAGTAGAGGGCGCCATGGTTCAGGAAGAGGGGCAGGGGCTGAATAGGGGGCATCATGCTGCATGGAGTCAGGTGGCAGGAGTGCAGAAGAACAGAGGTTATCAACCTTTTTCTTTCTGAGGTCCCCTCAACACACTATAAAAACTCCAGGGCCCAGTGGGAGAGAGGGGGAAATCGGGGAAATCGGGGCTCCAGGACAAGCCTGGGCCCTCAGGCATAGGCATAGTTTGACTTCTGTTGTGGTGGGGGCAGGGGCTGGCGGGGCTTGGGCCATGTCCGTACAGTGGGGTCCAGGAAGGCAGTGCCACCTCCACCCTCTGACTCACCACAGCAGGCCACCCAGCCTGTCTGGTTGTGGGTGATGTGGGTTCAGCTCAAAAAGTTTGAAAACTGCTCAGGGTACAGGGAGGGGATAGCTCAGGGCTGTGTGTGTGTCGGGTCCCCCTGCCTGGGCGGCTCTTACTGGCTGCGTGAGCTGAGTAGCCTCTGCAACCTCAGGCACCAGCAGCAGACAGGAGAATGCCGTGGCTGCCTGCTCCATGAAACCAGCCGGAGCAGCAGCTGCCCCTTGCTTATTGGAGAAAAGGTTGTCAACCTATTTCCCACGCTGTGAGGGCTGGTCCAGGAGTGCCTCATGTCTGGCACATGGGATCCAGACACTTGGGTTTTATTCCTTCCTCTGCCAGAGACCTTGTGCAACATCTCTTGGTGCCTGTTTGTTGTCTGTGCAGGGTCCAGAACAATGAGGGCCTGATCTCAGTCAGAGTCTGCAATCTAGGTTGGGGGTCTGTGCAGCATCCAGCACAATGGGTCCCTGATCTTGGATAGGGTCTGGACAATATCTGGCACAAAAGAGGCCCTGATCTTGGACAGGGTCTCTTTGCATGACCATAGCATGGTACTAATAACTTGCAGGGAGGGTGTCTGCTGGGAGAGGGATTACTATAATTGAATGGGGCTTTTAATTCTCTAGTTGCGTTATTAATTGCCCCCCAACCCAGACTCCAGAAAGATTCATCATCCCAGCCTCCCAGGGCTGAGAGTCAAGACATCATAGGCCTGAGTGACACCCCATCTGTGCAGGAGCACAGCAGCGCCCTCAGCAGGCAGACGTATCCCACCTCAACCATCAGTGACAGCAAGAGCAGCCTATGAACAGCAGAGACCTGCACCTGGCCAGGGGTGGGCAGTAGTCCTCGATTTCTCCACCCCCCACCATCCCCCTTGGATGACATGGAAGGATGTGACCTGCAGGGGGATCCAGCTAGAAGCCACAGGACAAGGATTACCTGTGTAAGCAAAGGCTGAATGAGCTCTCCTCTGACATCTAGCAATGAGCCAAGATGAAAAGATTTCAGGAACAGATTGTATTTGCATAAACATACCTACTCTTTCTAGGTGCACAGCATGATGGAGCTGCTTTGCCAAAGCAATCAGTTTTTGCTGGTGTTGGTTTACAAATCACTTTATTGAATGCAGGGATAATGATATGTTATTATCCTAATTATATGAGTAAATGGCAGCAGAACTATACTTAGCCTGCTCTGATTGAGGGGCTCACCCTAAACTGAATCTCACTCGCTATGCAGGGATGCCAAAGCCTAGGGCAGAAAAGAGAGGGTAAGAGTGAGCGTTCATGTCTGGGGGTGTGGGTTCTCATTAGGGAGTCCTAGGTATTACTCAGTGGTTTGAGCATTGGCCTCCTAAACCCAAGGTTGTGAGTTCAATCCTTGAGGGGGCCACTTAGGGATCTAGGTATTATTTGTAACTGTTCTCTCTAGTGTTTAAAAATCACTGATAACTAGATGCTGAGCGTTAGAGCTGGGGTATGGTAGTGAGGCACTGAAAGAAACTGCAAAGCCTGCCCTAGAAGTGAGGTTCCTCCCATCTCTTAAAATCACTGAGAGCTGTTTTAAGTGGTAGAACCTCAGAATGTGATATTATAGCAGAGAAATGGCAGTTGCAGTGGGTAGTCCTGGCCCAGTGAACACTAGCAACAATGAGCCACTTGCAATGGTGCACACAAACAGAGGCAGTGCTCAACACTTTTGGGGTGAACTCATGTGAACACACCTCTGAACTATGGGTCTTTGCTGATCGAGGACAGTAACTGTGAATAGGGTACACTGGGGAGAGTGGTGTGTTTTTACATTGCAAGATGAGAAACTGAAGCAAAGACCAATGCCCAGTGTACTCTGAGATGGGTGTTTGCTCATGGTCATATGCTTTTGAATTGTGGTGTTTTCCCAAATTAATGCTGGGTTCCTTTTCCCATTTTACTAAAAATTTTCTTTGTTGTACACAGACTCAATGCCTGCGAGTCTGCCTCTTAGAGATGCCCAGGGGTGATGTCTAATTTTCCCAGATTACTGGGTGGAGGTGTGACGGGTTGGAACATAGAAACCAGAGAGGGGAGGGATAGCTCAGTGGTTTGAGCATTGGCCTGCTAAACCCAGCTTTGTGAGTTCAATCCTTGAGGGGGCCACTTAGGGATCAGGGGCAAAATCAGTACTTGGTCCTGCTAGTGAAGGCAGGGGGCTGGACTCAATGACCTTTCAAGGTCCCTTCCACTTCTAGGAGATGGGATATCTCCATTAAATATTATTAACCCTCTTGGGAACTTCCACCCAATGTGCCATGACTACTTTTACCCCTACCTTCCCTGCCAGCTTGGGGCCCCAGCACCCTGTCTTGCTGAGCCAGACAGTTCCATCTGCTTCAACACAGACCCCAAAGCTGCAGGTTTACCTGAAAGCAGCTAACAGAAGTGTTCCTGTTCTTAACACTCAGATGCCCAACTTCCAATGGGGTCTAAACCCAAATAAATCCAATTTACCCTGTATAAAGCTTATACAGGGTAAACTCATAAATTGTTTGCCCTCTATAACACTGATAGAGAGATATGCAGTTGTTTGCTCCCCCAGGTATTAATACACACTGAGTTAATTAATAAGTAGAAAGTGATTTTATTAAATACAGAAAGTAGGATTTTAGTGGTTTCCAAGTAGTAACAGACAGAACAAAGTAAGTTACCAAGCAAAATAAAATAAAATGTGCAAATCTATGTCTAATCAAACTGAATACAATCTGAACAGCTGGTGCTACAGGGAATTAAGTTAATGGGGAAGGAAAATATTTGTTATGAGAGAACTGGACTTGACATGACCACAGCCATCTTGTGTATGACTTTAGCATAACCTTGTATGCCTCACCAGTTCCAGAATGCTCCCTTTTACAGACTATTCTTCTTTTAGCCTGGGTCCAGCAATTACTCACACCCCTTGCAGTCACTGCCCTTTGTTCCAGTTTTTTTCCAAGTATTCTGGGGGGTGGAGATGCTCTCTCTTTAGCCAGCTGAAGACAAAATGAAGGGGTCTCTGAGGGGTTTAAATAGACTTTCTCTTATGGGTGACGACCCACTCCTCCTTCCTATGCAAAGTCCAGCTCCAAGATGGAGTTTAGGAGTTACCTGGGCAAGTCACATGTCCATGCATGACTCTCATTTTTTACAGGTAGCATCCATTGTTTACATGCTACCTTGAACATCCTCAAGTAGACTTTTTATGTGGATTGGAGCATTCCAAGATCCATTGTCCTTTGTGTTTCTTGATTAGGTACTTAATTTCAACATTCCTTTCTCCAGGAACTGACCAAATGCTCTACTAAGGTTATTTAGAAATTAAGCCAGTACACAGCCAACATTCATAACATGCATAACTTCGAATACAAAAATGATACATGCATACAAATAGGATTAATACATTCAGTAGATCATAATCTTTGAGATAAGTTATATGGCATATGTAGCATAAAACACATTCTAAGCATATTTCCATAAAGCCTTTTGGGAGATACCATCACAGGGGGTTCAAGCTATTTCTGTTTTGTATTATTAAGAGGCACCCCTAGATATTGAACCTGGACCTTGTTGCTGCTGACTCCACCTGACAGAAGGGTTAATCCTGAGTGGGAAAGATATGATTTTTACCCCCATCTGAGGGGTGGGTGAGGGTAGGGCAGCAGTGCTGACCTACCGAGCAGGCCCCTCTCCATTGCCCTCTCCCAGCATGCACTGGGGCCCAGAGAAACCTATCCCTCAGGGAGCCTGCACTGTCCTGTACCCAGCATGCATTGGGGCTCAGCAGCGGGTACAGATGTAGAGGCACTGGGGCTCACCAGGGCCTGATTCAGGAATCTAACCTGCTATCCTCACAATCTGAACAGCTGGTGCTACAGGGAACTAAGTTAATGGTGAAGGAAAATATTTGTTATGAGAGAACTGGACTTGACATGACCACAGCCATCTTGTGTATGACTTTAGCATAACCTTGTATGCTCAGCCACCATAAGTTGGAAACAAAAACCATAGAGTCAGGAACGGTCAAACAGAAGGGATATACTGCTGCCGGCTAGATTCTATAATGGTGACTCTGACAACCAAGCGAGTTAGTAGGGTCTAGTAGTTGGAGTCCCTTGGACTGCCCTCACTCTCAGGGCAGTGTGGCCTGATGGCCTAAGTCAATAGGCAGCCCTTCCTTACAGGGCTCTGTGGGCCAGAGTTAATAAAGTGGCCCTTCCTTAATGGGCTGTGTGGCCCAAGGGCCAGAGTCAATAAAGCTGCCCACCTCCATGGGGCTGTGTGATTGGCCCATCAGGGAAGTGGGACACCACCTAGGGGTGTGTGGCATCTGGGATAATGGGACCTGCTCCTCAGAGTCCCAAACCAGGGCCCTGGCAGGTCTCAGACGTGGAACAAAAAGCAAGACTACAAAAGTTGGTCCAAGACTTCCCCTCCATTTTATCTTCCCATCCAGTGCGGATGAACATTGCCAGTCACCATATAGACACCGTTCCCAGGCAGAAGGTCTACAACCAACATTGCCCACTTCCCAGAAAAATGTGGGAAGTGGTCCAGAAAGAACTTGAGGCAATGCTGGCCCTGGAGGATAATGGAAGAGTCCCAGCGTGAATGACAAAGCCCGATACTCCTGGTCCCAAAGTCTGATGGGATGGTGAGGTTCTGTATGGACTTTATGGCACTGGCAGTGGCAAGGGTGCTTGCCACTGAGGCAGTGGGGATCGCCCCAAAACATGCTGACTGGTTTCCTGGTTCTACAAATGGAGCAATGTCTAAGTCCTCTGGGCTGCTTCCTACCCTGTCTTCTGCTGAAGTGGTCCACGATTCCCCTAGGTCTCTGGGGTCCTCAGTCAGTGCAGCACCTGATGGCTCATTCCCCTCTCTGGGTTCTGCTGTCAACCAGGGATCTGTCTGGGGCTCAGTGTGTGGCCCAGGCTGCTTACACCCAGTGCTGAGATGCAGCCTCCTCTGCAGTGGGGCGCAGTGGCTGTTTATACAAGGATTGCTCACCTGAAGCAGAGATGAGTCCATCTCTGGTTAAGGCACTGGGGCTGTTTGTATGCAGATCCCTTCACCCATGGCAGAGATACACCTTTAGGTCCTGGCCCCCTGCTGTGTTTGGGGATTGACCTATTCCCACCCAGCTGCGGGGTGGAACCCTGATCCCCAGTGCTGCCGGCCCCATTACCACCAAGGCAACAGCACAGTGGGAACTAACAGGGCAGCTTTTGCTTCGGCTGAGTGACAGAGAACAGCCAGGTTGGGTGAGCCAGCTGGAGGGCCACACATATGGACACCTGTACACAGATACGAACATGTGTATGTACACAAACACACACAGACGCAGCAGCCTTCTCTCCTGGAAAGGCAGTACGTGAATCATAGAAGATTAGGATTGGAAGAGATCTCAGGAGGTCATGTAGTCCAACCCCCTGCTCAAAGCAGGACCAACCCCAACTAAATCATCCCAGACAGGGCTTTGTCAAGCTGGGCCTTAAAAACCTTTAAGGATGTAGATTCCACCACCTCCTTAGGTAACCCATTCCAGTGCTTCACCATCCTCCTAGTGAAATAGTTTTTCCCTAATATCCAACCTACACCTCCCGCACTGCAACTTGAGACCATTGCTCCTTGTTCTGTCACCTGCCACCACTGAGAACAGCCGAGCCCCATCCTCTTTGGAACCCCCATTCAGGTAGTTGAAGGCTGCTATCAAATCCCCCCTCACTCTTCTCTTCTGCAGACTAAATAAGCCCAGTTCCCTCAGCCTCTCCTCGTAAGTCATGTGCCCTAGCCCACTAATCATTTTCGTTGCCCTCCACTGGACTCCCTCCAATTTGTCCACATCCTTTCTGTGTGTGTGTGTGGGGGGGGGGGGTAGAGGGGAGCAAAACTGGACGCAATACTCCAGATGTGGCCTCACCAGTGCTGAATAGAGGGGAATAATCACTTCCCTCGATCTGCTGGCAATGCTTCTACTAATGCAGTCCAATATGCCGTTAGCCTTCTTGGCAACAAGGGCACACTGCTGACTCATATCCAGCTTTTCATCCACTGCATAGGGGTTTCCATGAATCCCTTCCCCCCTCCCACCCCCCCCAGTGGTTTTAAGTCAGGGCAGGATGTGTGTGAGGAGGGTGCAGGAGTCAGGGCAGAGGGCTGGGGGCATGTGAGGGGGGTGCAGGAGTCAGGGCATGGGGTGGGTGGGGGGTGGATATGTGGGGGGGGTACCAGAGTCAGGGCTGGGGTCGTGGGAAGGTGCAGGGGGCTGGGGTGTGAGGGGGTGCAGGGATCAGGGCAGAGGGCTGGGGGGTAGGCTGGGATCGGGGGGGGGGGCATGCTCCCAGCCCCCTGCCCTGAGCGGCTCACAGCAGGGGGCTGGAGGGATACTCCCTGATTCCACACTCCTTCCCCAAAGCCCCGCTCCTTCCTCTTCTCCACCTCCTTCCCAGTCTGAGCAGCGAGGCTGCTGTGGCTCCTCTTCTCCCCTCCCTCGCAAGGGCCATCAGCGGCAGGGTTGGAGAGGAGGCGGGGCACGACGCAGCACGCTGGGAGAAGAGGCCGGGGAGGGGGAAGCTTGGCTGCCGGCGGAGCCTGCCCTACAGCAGCAGCTGGCAGGACCAAGCTTGCTTCTGCCCCTTACCCCCACCAGACAGAGCAGTAGGCCAGGGGCGGAGAAGAGCGGGCTGGGCCAGGCAGGATTTTTAATGGCACGCTGCTGCCTGCTGGAGTCCCGGCCGTCAGCCCCGCTCAGCCCACTGCCGGGGTTCGGCAGCGAGCTGAGCGGGGCTAGTGGCGGCCTCAGCATGCCATTAAAAATTGGCTTGCGTGCCATCTTTGGCACACGTGTCATAGGTTGCTGTTTTAGACCCTGCAGAGAGGATTTGCAGCAGAGCTCTCCCATGCCCCCCTTATATCTGTCACCCCAAAACCTTTGGATGTGAAC